TTTGCCACGAAGCAAAGATGAAACCTTAGAAATGTGACATCATATGAATTATGGAAAGGTTGAAAACCTTTCTATAAATTCTTAAAAGTGTGAGGGTGTCTATTTAAGGTTGCAGATCCTACTCCTATGAAAGGTTAGAGTGGACCTAAAATGTGACAACCTTGTAGGTGAGTGTGTCGTGGACGGGTGCAAAAGGCACTAACAGGCTACCACACTAGGCGAGCTACAAGTGCACAGTCCCTACACGTAAAACCTTTGATAGGTTATGCTCATAACAGTATTGCATATCATTTCCTTGTGCATAAATCATACAATGAAAATAAAGATGAGCTTAGAGGTAGTAAAAAGGCTAGAACGTCTAAATCTTTTATTCCTGATTTTCTAGCATGTTTATTGGAGAACAAGCTACAAAGCTTTAAGGAAGCAAATTCTTCTCTTGATTATTATTATTTCTTATATTAATTATGTGATATAATTAATCATGTGATATAATATGAAACTATATTGTTATGCAAGTTTAATATTATTTTCATAAATGTTTACTTTCATTTGATACTATAATATTGAACTATGTAGTTGAATTACTTAATGTGTATTGTAATTCAAATTTACAACATAATTTATTTAATGTGTGATATTATTAATTTTGTATGAGTTCATGACTGGTTTGTGTATTTAATACAACAGACAAAAATTGATTAGTCTAAGTTTGTCAATTCTTCCAATAGTCAAGGGAGAAAGATCTATACTAGTGTCTAAGACACGTATAACTGTGAATGGGCTAAATAAAAAAAGATTTTCCGATAACTCTAAAGAGTTTAATGGAAAGTGTTATGGATACACTAAGCTAGTACACTGAGACAAGCTAAATCAAACTAGTTAGCTCTAATGTACAATTTAGCTAAAAGCTAAAATGTTACTGAGTTGCAAACAAGGTAGCTTAATTATAAGTTAAAATGATTAATGAGGTGCACAGAACCTAAGAGGAAGATGGAAAATCTGTTAGTTGGTTCTAGCTCTCAACTTGGTAGTAAAAAAAAAAAACACGAGGGTGATGAGTAGCTATTTTAGCCATAAGCTATTTGAGCTATTCATCATATCTGCTCATGTAGGAGGGAATAATATTACTTGTAAAATAGTAGTTTTTGAAGAATATTCTTCAAAACAAATTACTCTACTACCAAGGTAGACTACTTAGATAAGTGTACTAAAACTATGAACTACTAGAATTGATAACTAAACAAACTTAACTTCAAGCTAGTGGTAATAGCTAAAAAGTGGGTGCTCATCATAACCTAGTAGTGAGATATGAGAAGAGTGTACTTAATCTAAGCTAGTAATGATAGTTAAGAACTCACTTTTGACTAGTAATGATAACTGAGAAGTGAGTGTTCACTCTGTAGTGATTGTATCCAAAGCTTAAATAATAAGATAATTATTTGCTTAAATGATTGAGTTATGTGATGTGTGACACATGAAAAGTTATAACATGTTAATATGACTGACTTAACATGAACCTAAACAAGAATAACTCAATTTATAAATATAAAAGAAGTAAAATCAAATATTAATTAGAGCCCATTGTAATTAATATCTTTAGCATTAATTCACGGTAATGTCGGTGAATTATTATAAGAATATGCTAAAGATAAAGTGAGTACATATGCACTAGAGACTATTATATATGCTTGTTGAGAAGCGAATATGGAACCTTGAAAAGGTAGATGAGGTAAAGTATTTAATATATGGTACTTTCATAGTTGAAAAATCATAATAAATACATTAGAGATAAAATTTCAGGATTATCCCAAAGTTGTGGGGAGATATTATCCATAGATGAAATTTGTTACGAGTCACTCATCTTAACAGAAATACTTATAAATGTGGGGGGTTCCAAGTCCTAAGAGCTTTAGGATAGAACCAAAAATCATTTATATTATTATAACAATAGTACGTGCATATTATTTTCTACGAGGAAAATATTATGGAACAACTAGAAGAGTTCTTTTTTCAGTTGAAGTGCTGAGTTATTTGTTCCAGTTGAAAAGTTAAGTGTGTAAGCTTATAAGTCCTTGAATGGATTAAAGCTACTACCGAGACAATGACATAAATGTGATGCGTAAGTCATTGTATGCCTTAAAATATAAATGATATACTGATTGGTATATTTGATATGAAAGATTTAACATCTGATAACATAGTATATTCTCAATAGAGTGAGATTGAGATAATACTAGTTATGATAACAAAAGCCTAGCTAACTTTTGTAGATGTAAATCTCAAATATATATACTAGCCAAAGTATATCATTGGTTGAGATTGCAAGGCAACTTAATAACTGTGTTTAATTGCACATTTTCAATCCAGGATCGGATCACTAAAAAACAATAAATTGGGTAGTTGAGATACACCCTAAATCCAATATTGCATAGATCGAGGTATCTAACTAAATTGGAGGTGTAACAGTGATGCAATCTGGATATGGGATATTAAAGACTTCAAATCCAATAGTGGATATGTCTTTTATATTAAAGGTGTAGTTCTATATTCTTAATATAACTCAAAGTTAGAAACTTTGAATAAATCAAATAGGGAAGTCAATAGACTTCACTTAGAGGAAAATTCAAAGTAAGTCTACACCTGTGCCACTAAAGAAAATGATATTGCTAAAAATAAGCAATTTTAGGGCACAAAGTATACAGTTGCTCTCACCTGGAGAAATCTCTGCAGAGTGTAATATTTCTAAACACAACCTTGTGGCCACATATAAAATTGAAGGTTGTACTAGAGAGCAATTATACAGTTCATCGAGGGGAATGGGGTTTAAAGCCGAAAGCTAACGAGTCACCTTAATGGAAACCCAACCTAGCTGATTGGAGATCCCAAGATCTAGGTTCAAAGGGACAACAGAAATTCTGAGTGACTCACCAGAAGCACTGGGAAGATATAAATCTTCTACCCATTTCTATGATGAGACAGTGCTGCCTACAGCGATGATCAGGATAAGCTACGCTTTTAATGACTCTTATACCTCGAAAATTCAAGTGGGGTTTGGTAGGATACTCTTAATAAGAAGTCACCTATATGAGTGTGAAGTAAGGCCGCTTCTATGAGAACTATAAAGGCTAAGTTTTCTGGAGCACTCATTGAATACCAGGACTTGTTCAGGGCCAAAATGAACACAACAATGAGAACCAACTTTGTGAGGAAAGCTACTGTGTGTTTGTTATTGTTTTGGTTTACACAAACGGCTGAACAGTTCAAGACATCGTGTTCACTGGTTAGCCAGTAAATCCGATAGCAATACACTAGGGAAGGTTCAAAGCCAAAAGCCACCTATCCTGATGCAGTAACTTTTCGATTATACTCTCTCTAGTGTCTGCATGATCATCTTTTGCATTTTACGCAAATTTCCATTCATGTGGGGGATTGTTGGAAATGGGGGCATTAAAAACATAAACTTTGGATGAGATTTGAAATAGATTCTGCTAATAATTTTTTACGGATCTCTAGAAAAGCGCGTTTCTCTCCGCAAGGAGATGAACATGGTATATTTACTTTCTGAAATCCATTTCCGGATGAATGAGAAATTAGCTCCAAAGTGTAGTGTTTTGATAAGCCTAAATGGGTATGCAAAATGTGGGAAGTGTTTGTCCCACATGAAAAAAATGTTGAAACAAATTGAAATTTAAATAAGCTGAGTTTAGGATTTGGGCTTGGGTTTGGGCCTAATTGTAAAGTCCAGATTATTCTTTTTTGGAATTTTAGATTGGGCCTAATTTTGGGCTGGGCTTATTTAAATGGGTTTTACAAATGAGTGGGTTTTTTGGGTGGTTGGTTTTTTGAATTAAAAAAAAACTACTTTTTAGTTTTTCTAAAAGGTTACACCTTTTAAATTAAAAAAACCATATTTTAGTTTTTCTAAGGGGTTACACCTTTTAAATTAAAAAACCACTTTTTAGTTTTTTCAAAAGGTTACACCTTTTTCCGAACCATCATGACCCATGGTTGCACCCACTCGAAAAGACACATTGCAACCTATTGGAATGGATGTGTCTATTGGTGAACAGACACCATGTGAACCATTGTAACCTATTGGAATGGATGTGTCTAGTGGTGAATAGACACCATGTGAACCATTGCAACCTATTGTAATGGTTGTGTCCAATGATGAAGAGACGCACCCAATCAGAAAAGGCATTTCTGTTTCTATAAATACCCCCCTTTGGATCATTTGCAAATTATTCATTTTCATTTTCTTCTATCTCCCTCTCTAGACTAGAACCCAACCCAAGTGGGTTCAAACCTTAGGTTAAGTGGTTCGAGCCACTTCGATCCTAATCCAATTTCATCGAGCTATATTAAGATTGGTTCGAACCATTTGGTTCGGATTACACCCAATTCAGCATTTATATAGTATATAGATGCATTTTTGAGTCAGAGAGAGTATTACACGGAGAAGGTTCGCCGTATCCACGAGTTTGTAGTGCTGCTACTGGTGGATGTAGACCGTTGTATCTTGGGAGATAGACGCCACTGAGTCCGTTAGCACCATAGCGGGGCGAATCTGTCTTAAGGACATAGTATTCAATACTAGCCTCGGTCCAGGTTCTTTATTGATTATTATGATTTTATTAATTTATTTTGCATATTTAATTAAATATAGAGTTGCATATTTAATTAATGATTTCTTAACATATTGTTAATTATCTAATGACATATTAGTATAAGATTTGTTATATCTTAAATATCACATGAAGCATATATTTTTCCAACATAACCGCCCCGTTTAATACTTTAAATTACTAATTTATCCTCTCATGTTTAATATATGTACCAAATTAACTTTCACTATATATATATATATATATATATATATATATATATATATATATATATATTTGGAAACCCTACACTTAACACTTCAATAGCAGCGGCAGCCGTCTCTCTCTCTCTCTCTCAAACCCAAAATACATCCACCATGGAAAATCTGCCGATCAATGGCGACCTCTTCGAGTACACAGCCACCGGCCAAAGAAACGAGGAACTGGCTCGAACTGCCACGAGATGTGACGACGATGATACTGAACAAGCTTGGAGTGATAGAGATTCTGACTAGTGCACAGAAGGTATGTATGACGTGGCGTAAGATCTGCAAAGAACCTTCGATGGGGAGGACCATCGAAATACATAATTTGAAGGATGGGGGCATCTTTTACGATCTCGAGAAGATGGTGAGGCACGCCATCAATCCTAGTTGTGGACAGTTGGTCGACATCAAAATCCAGTTTTTCGGAACTGATGAGCTTCTTCAGTACATCATTGAGCGGTATCACACTCTCATTTAGATCCATATATATATATGTATGTATATATATGTGTATATGTGCTATGATTGTGTTTAAATAAAAATATAATCGGTTATGGGGCGGGGGTGGGGCAAGTGGGGCGGGGGCGGGGGCGGTTATGGGGATTAGAGGCAAAAAATTAACCGGTTATGGAGCGGTTTTGGGAGCACCAAAATTAAACTGGGGCGGGGATGGGGAATGGAAAACCCGCCCCAAACCGCCCCATTGCCATCCCTACTATAGCATATGCTAATGGTCATGAGTATTTTTTTTCTTACCATTAATGGTAATATTTATAGTCCTTGGAACCTCCGGGTATTCTCTCGACATGTTTGGTCCTGTAACATGCTTAAGTCTAGTATGATCAACGGGTCAATAGTCTAGCGATATCAGCCTATTACTTCTCAAAGAAAGGTTAGGGGTTCAAGTTTCAGAAGAGACAAGTGTGTGTGAGTACCAAACTCAAAAAAAAAAAAAAAAAAAAAAAAAAAAGGCTATAAGTATGAGAATAACATGTCTAAGGAGCTCCTTACTGAACCACGCCTCTTTGTGGTGTGGCCCCCGCATCAAAATTAATTTATATAAACGGTGGTAGTTGGTGCATTAATGACTATCATATCATAAATTTAGTGGTGATGTTAAAGTTCTCTACTACAGCACCACGTGTTCACCATCCAGGCCATTAGCTAAGCCTATTACTTAATTATGCTAAGCATTTTCTAACTTTTTATCCACCAATTTATGATCATGTCCCAGATGATAGTTGTAAATGCATGAGAAGGCTTTACCTATATCTCACTATTCACATGAAAACTTAGGTTTGAGGTCTAGGCCTCTTTGAGGTTTGATGACCTCGTGTGATGCCATAGTACGTTTCTTTGAGACTCGAGATAGAGCGGAGTTTCTTTAAGACTTGAGAGTTAAACTTTCAAGGTTTGATGACTTGGTATGGTATCAGAATTTTTCTAAAACTTGAGAGTTAGACTTTCAAGATTTGGTAACATGGGATAGTAAGGGTTCCTCTCTTAAACTCGAGAGTTGGACTCTCGAGGTTAACTTGGTGACCCAGTGTGATGTTCGGTTTTCTCTGAGATTTCAGAGTTTGACTTTCGAGGTTTTCTAAGCTGGTGTGATGTCATAATATTTCTTAGAGGTTTGGTGACCTGGTGAAGATGTCAAGGCTTCTTTATGACTTGAGAATTGAACTTTCGAGATTTGATGACCTAATTTGATGTCTCGGGAATTGGATTCTTGAGGTTTGATAATCTATTGTATGTCAAGATTTTTTTATTCACGGTGAATGCATGTTTGACTTTTCAATGTGTCACATAGGTATAGTTTATATGACACCTGCAATCAGCCACTCATATTTGGAAAATGTTTAATTGATCTTTAATTTATTTAACTAAATATATAAAAGAAAAATATCATTTGACATTTTTTTTTTTTCCCTAAATATCATTTGACTTGTTGATCAATAAACAATAGTGATTGTTATTGATAGCTCTGTCCTATGGGGAAAAGATTGTTTAGATAAAGGTAGTCAAAGAAGGGCAGTCCATACACGTATTCATAAGGTTTGAATTCTATGTTGTTCCCTAATTTGGAATATATAAAATATTCCTTTGTAAGCCTAACTTTTACCTTAATTATATATATGCGGAACCGTAGAATAAGACATTAATACCACTCCACTAACAATAAACAACGTACTACGACCTTTTACTGACTATAAATACACTCGTTATCAACTTCCATTCTCCACACAAAGCATTCTTCATTTATCTCTGCATTTCAAATCTCAATCAATCTCTCTCTCAAAAAAAAAAATTAACAACAATGAAGTGCCTAAAGGTCTTCTTGACGTTGGTAATGCTAATGGCTTTAGCTACAACTCTTTTAGCAACACCTGCAGAAGAAGAGGTGTTTATTGACGATGATGAAGAAAATGCTCAAACCGAGACCATTGATGTTCCTCTGCCAGAAAGTGACGAAGTACTACCAACATCTCTTCGTGGGACTGGCCGTTTTCTTGCCCAAACACGGCGTGTCACAATGACATGCAGCAAGTTCCCTAGAGTATGTCGGGCCAAGGGCAGTCCGGGGCCAGATTGCTGCAAAAAGAAATGTGTAAATGTGAAGGCAGACAGACTCAACTGTGGAATGTGTGCGAAGAAATGCAAGTACTCGGAGATATGTTGCAAAGGTGTGTGTGTTAATCCATTGTCCAACAAGAAGCACTGTGGGGGCTGCAACACTAAATGCAAGAAAGGGAGTTCATGTGTATATGGAATGTGCAGCTATGCCTAGAAATGATACACTTTTAGAATTAGTTTGTTAGAGCTATATACACACCGTTAATTTGTCAATCTCTGTAACCAAGCCATCAGAGCTATTTGATGGGCTTGGCTAGCTGATGATTTTTTATTCTTTCTGTAAGTTCATATAATCGTCATAGTCATAATCATTTATTCAGAATATGTTTTTTTGTCTAAAGCTGTCTCTAGCTCATTCATTTAAACATATTACATATATATTACAAGCACATCATTATCACTCTGTTCTTTTAGTTGAATTTTCATATTCCTCATTATTGATTCACGCATGTAAAGAGAATTAATTTTACCTAATAATACAATATATTATCAGTAAATTTCTTTAAGATTAGTCAAATTGCAAACGATATTAAACACTTTGGTGCTCCTTTAATGATTAAGTTTTACCTTCGAATGAAGACTACTTCGAATTGTCTGAGCTTTTTGGATTCTTGAAACAACTCAATTGACACGAACAAGTAACGTAAGTTTATATATACATCCTGTTTTTACAAATTAAATACATTTGCACATTTATCACCATTAAATTTATAGACACACACTTCCAATGACGGAGCCAGAATTTTATTTCAAGAGGGGGCACAATGTACTTATTGAGAAAAAAATATTAAATAAAAAAGCAAACAAGGAAAAAAATATTTGTAAAATAATATGCTAAATAAGTACTGTAAAAAAAATATAGTTACAAATATAAGAATCAAAATATTGATTAATAATATTTTAATTAAATATAATCACAAATATTATTGATAAAAAGAAAGAAGTGGGAAAAATGGAACAATAAATAATTATACATGAATGAAAAAAGATAAATTTTGAAAAAGGAAACAAAAATTAGAAAAGGAAAAATATATGGTATATTTGAAGAAGGGGATATATGTAATTTTTTTTTTTTTTTTTTTCAAAAAAAATTAAAGGAATTTGAAAATTTTAGGGGGGCACTATTTAAAATTACCATATAAATATATGTATATAGCAAAAATATATACTTCCCCGTTCATGTCACGAGGCTCACAATGTACACCATTCTGCAGCATGACAGGGTAGCTAGTTCTAAGAAGAAAAATGGTGTGCGCTTGTTATTCACATGTGAACACAATGCAAACTTTTGTTCCCAAATAATACTTTCTGACAATATGTGAAACATAATTGAAGAGGTGGGATCTATATTTTCGAATGATTGTTGGAATTTATTGAAAAGAACATTATCCTTTGGCATCAATGGTACTGAAAGAGTTCTACGTAGAGCCTAACTTTTGTTACCTAATTTGGAGTAGTAGAATATTTATTTGAAACCCTAACTTTGATTTACATTCATATGTTGCCGTTGAATAATACCAATGCACTACCAACAGCATGAGGTCTATTTAATTTTGATATATGGTATACCAACACCATTTACGTGTACCACAATAATACCTTGCTAAAAAATCTCAATTTTCCCCTCTCTACATAATACTGTAATAACAAAAATCTCAATTTTCCCCTCTACCTAATACTGTAATAACTTTCGACATTAATTTCTTTGCCAGAAAGCCAAAACCAAGTTGGCCCTCTCTACATAATACTGTAATAACAAAAATCTCAATTTTCCCCTCTACCTAATACTGTAATAACTTTCGACATTAATTTCTTTGCCAGAAAGCCAAAACCAAGTTGGCTTTAAGGAGCTAGCTGTTTAATTTCTTGTGCTATTAGTGCCACATTCTTCTCCAATTACAAAAAATAAAAAATAAAAAAAATTCAAATCTATCTTGTACCTCCCATTATAAATGTCATAAATATGAAAAAAATAATACGAAGTGAGGCTGGAGTCTGGACACTGGAACAGAGCTTATGGAATACAATATAAATATAATTTTTTCTAAAATTTTAGTAATGCTTCCAATTTTTGATAAACCCCTTAAATTTTAGTAATGCTTAAAATTACTAAAATTATTTAAAATTGTTTAAAATTATTTATTAATTCTCAAATCTATTAAATAACATGTGATTTCATAGATTTGAGAATTAATAAATAATTTTAAACTATTCTGGTTAAAATTGCTTAATTTTGGTTACTTTTTAATATGTTACCTTTATAAGGATTGGAGTATTTATTAAAAAAATAATAATATAAACTATTTTCAATCAAAATATTAATTAAATATATCTATGGCAATAGTTTCAATTTTTTAATTTTATTTTGCTAATACATATAACTACATACTATTATTCTAATTGTTTGATATTCGTGATTGGCAAGAATACAAACAAGCCTTCCTAAATGGTTCGGTGGGATATTATATGTCAAAAATTATACGTCATCTTCTCCTTCATCCCTAAACTCCAATGGAGGACGTAAAAAAATGAATTAGAGCAATCGAATCTATTAGGGCAGATCTACTTGCAAATTTATGAAAATATGATTCTATTACTATTGCAAAATTTGTTGTACGTTAAAGAAAGAACACTCTTGCTTACTAGTCCTAACATGAAAAAATATTGGTAACAATCCTATATTGTAGAGACATTTATATATAGAGTTTTCCGAATAAAAAAGAACATTAAATTCCCTGCAAGTTGCTAGTATTCCAGAAAGATACAAATCTTCCAAAATATGTTAGAGTACATGAGAGACATATAATGTGTGCAATAATTTGTTAGAGTAATCTAGAGAAATACTTTTGGGCCTTTTATTTTTGCTGGCTTGGGCTCTACCAAAATCCTTTGTAACATTCTAATTTATCTATCGTAATATATATATATATATATATATATATATATATATATATATATTTATAATTTCCAAATGAGATATTCTTAACAATTATATATAGTTAAAATGGCTACACATCCAGAGAACAAGATTCAATATTTAGCAATATTTTGAGACCATCGAGTATATCATGACTATAAAACAGAAACATACTTTTAACAATTAATTATTTTATAAAGACAAGTTCTAGATTTCCCAGGTCAACAAACCATAGCTCATGCCAACATGCAAACATGTAACCCCAAAATCTTACCAAACAACCCCAACATGGACACCACCTTCTCATCTCCTCCATATATATGTCAACCCTCCATTTGTCCCACACCACCATTTCAAGCCATGGCATACGCAACCTCTCTTCTATTGTTTTCTTTGGTTCTAGCCATTTATACTTCAACATTGCAAGCTCACCCGCTAGACTACAAGCCCAAAAAAACAAAGAAAACCATTCCAACTCATCTTCCAACATATACTCAGCCCCAGAAGAAGATCACCATGAACATTATAGACTCTTGCTGGAGATCAAACCAGAATTGGGCTTCCGACCGCGAAGCATTAGCCGACTGCGCGATAGGGTTTGGCAAAGGTGCAGTGGGAGGGAGGTATGGCAAAGTATATGTGGTCACTGACTCCACTGATGATCCAGTAGATCCCAAACCAGGCACACTTAGGTATGGTGCAATACAATCAGAACCACTTTGGATAATTTTCGAGAATGACATGGTTCTTAAGCTCGGGAATGAGCTCATGGTGAATAGTTTCAAGACCATTGATGGGAGAGGAGTCAAAGTTGAGATAGCAAATGGACCATGCATTACTTTGGAAGGTGTGAGCCATGTCATTATACATGGGATTAGCATTCATGACTGCAAGCCAGGGAAAGCAGGCCTTGTTCGAAGCAGTCCGGAGCACGTTGGTCACAGGCTTGGCGCGGATGGAGATGGCATCAGTGTGTTTGCATCTTCAAATATTTGGATTGATCATTGCTTTCTTGCTCGCTGCACCGATGGCCTCATTGACATCATCCATGCCTCCACTGCCATCACTGTTTCCAACAATTACTTCACCCAACATGACAAGGTACGTACGCACACAACAAATTTTTTATTTATTTTTTATCAAAAGTTCAAGCAAACACGCGCACCCAAAATATTATTCCTAACAAACTCGAACACTCAACCTCCCCTTTAAGAAAGAGAGATGATACCATCAAGGCTAATGCCCGAGCATTGGTAGGCACACTGCAAGCAACATTTCCTTCTGTGCGTTACTAATTGAACCATGAAACTGTTGTTAATTAATTGAACCATTCCATATTCTGTCACATATAGGGTAATTCAATTAGTACTAAACAATAATGTCTAAAGTTAGGATCTGGCTTTTAACCCATCACTGCATGATTTTGATCTTTAACATATCACCACAATCATTCACCGTAATTGGCAATGCAGTACATTAATGAAAAATAAACTAATCCTTATCATAAAAGACTCACATATATATATATATATATATATATTAAAAACAAAATTATGGGTAGTTAATAGTTAATTACTATGTGGTGGTACTAATCATATTGAACTTGCAGGTGATGCTGCTTGGACATCAAGATGGCTATACTGCAGATAAAATAATGAAAGTGACGGTGGTTTTTAACCGCTTTGGCGCTGGTCTAGTTCAGAGGATGCCAAGGTAGGAAAGGTTAGCTAGCTAGGTATCTGTTACATATTAAAATTCCGGCCAACGAATTAACGAGGTGAGGATTAGAGTTAATATTGATGATTTATATGTGTTACAGGGTTAGGTATGGTTATGCTCATGTCGCAAACAATAGGTACGATGAGTGGCTAATGTATGCCATTGGCGGGAGTGCTGATCCAACTATATTGAGTGAAGGAAACTACTTCATGGCTTCAGACAATCCTGATGCCAAACAGGTACAAATTAATTAATTAAACTTCTTTAAATCAATATAATGATATATATATATATATATATATAGGTTTAGCATTTACATTGTGTGTGCATATATGGGATATGTCTGTGATAGGTTACAAAGAGAGAGAGTGATGAGGAATGGAAGGATTGGAAATGGAGGTCTTCGAAGGATGTATTTGGGAATGGAGCTTATTTTGTTCAATCTGGATGGGGAAGCTGTGCTCCACTTTACTCAAAATCTCAATTGTTCATGGTTGCTCAGGGATCTTTAGTTCCCACTTTGACTTCTGATGCTGGTCCTCTTCAATGTGTTTCTACCAAACCATGTTGATTCATCTAATATTTGATCTATTCTTCTTTTGTATGTTTTTTTTTCCCCGTCTTTTTCAATTTGAGGGTTTAATTTGGTTAGGCTGTGCTTTTTTTTTCCAAAGCATGCTACTAAATGTTTTCATATTTTCCGTTATGTATCTTCTTCTTTTTTATCTTCAGCTTTCATCTTAAGAATATATTTAGAAAATGAGAAGTGGATTCCACATGATGGGTTTGATTCGTGGGAAGTCCTTCAAGAGAGGGCTTTTAAAATTGTTTTTTTTTTTTAATATATTTATTTAAATTAGAAAAAGAGAGTTCGCCAAATGGATATTGAAACTTATATACCATATATACAAATTATTATTATTTTTAAGTGAAAGTATTGGTAAATTTAAGATTCTTTTTTAAGAAGATAAATTTGAGATCATAACGTTAAGAAGCATCTTAGACACTTATTCTATACATAAATTAAAAATAATTTTTATTGTTTTAGATACTTGATTGACACATCTTAAATATTTAGTTAATGCATCGCAGATAATTAGTCAAAATATTCTATACTTGACCAACATATCTCACACTCTATCTTTCTAAAGTAAACACATGACAATCTTAAAAACAACATCATGCTTATACGCCATTCAAAATATATATATATTATGCTCATACATCAAAGTGTCCAAGCTCATTTTTCTTAAGAAATTGACATTAAAGGCATGTCGAAATATGTAATGAAAAAAAAAAAATTTAATGACAAGATATATATTGGATAATAATATTACATATAATACAATAAATTCTTTTTTATATTTGAATAACTTCAATTTCAAACTTACGTAATTATAAATTAATTAATATTTTAAAATTATCTTACTCACATATATATGAATAAAAATTTATATTTATAATCCACAATCAAGGGCGGATTCAGAAATTGTTAAGGGGGTGGGCTAAAATTAAACATAAATTTAATAACATAATTTCTTAAGCAAATTTTTTTTATCAGGCTTGTTTGGCGTGGGCCTTTATTATAGTATTGTAACTTAACTGACTTGTTATTAGGGCTTGTTTGGGTGGGCTAATACTAATAATAATTTTATTATTATTATTTTTGGTTAGGTTAAAATTACCCATAGTAATAAATTTTTTTTTTTTTTTGTATTTTTGGGTGGGCTGGAGCCCAGCCCAGCCCTACCCTACCCTTGATACGCCATTGTCCACAACATGTTCATATCTTACTTTTCTAGGTGCATGGATATCATATCCGTATCAGTGTCCATATATGCTTCTTAGTTATAATGTTTCTCATTTTGTTAAATTAATAGGGATAAGATTGAATCATGAGAAGCCATTGGTATTTGTAACACAATGGTTAAGTTTTGGCACGCCGTTAAAATAAATGGATGGTATTACTCGTTCTATTCTTTCCCTTGAAAAAGAGGAAAAGATATTAAAGAAATCAAGATTTTTTATTTTTATATAATTTTTTAAATTATGAACACTAGAATTTTGAGAATTTTTTTTTTTTAATCATGCCACTCACAATGAGCAAACCATTTTTATTTGTAAATAAATAAATAAAAGAAAAAATTGATAAAGAAAAAATTAGATCGTATACACAAATGGTATGGTAGTAATGATGGGACACTCCATTGGGCCAGAAACTTTACGGTCCGTTAATAATGGGCTATTAAATGGGACACTCTGGTGGGCCTATTCTGTTGAGCTTTGGATTCTCCCTGCTTAATTGGCCTCTTCATTTTTGGGCCACTTTGTAAATACCATTACATATCTATAAAATTGCTTAACTTTTCCAACAAAAAAATAAAAAATAAAAATAAAATCAGAAATGATCTCTCTTTCATTGGTGAGTTAGATTATTTCACACCATTTAAGATAAATCAAACCCGCTTATAGTGTCGTATTCAAATCGTGTTGGCGGGTCATGTTCAAACTCTAACTAGAGCCCACTCAATTGTCAATAACAATTAGAGAATCCAGAGCTGTTTATTGCATATCTAATTAGCAAACTAGATTGTGAACCATTAATTACCAAATAAAATATGAAATATGATATAAACTTTACTGACTTGATTAGCAAACTAGATTGTCCTAAGTCAGGGCCACTAATTACCAAGTTTAATATTATTCATACATGTAATGATACTTGAAAAGAGAATTTACAGGACTTTTTGATGAAAAACTTCACACACTATGTATGTATAGACTATATAGTACCTCCGGCCAATAAATATTCACTATTTTTCTGGATAAAAAAATATATTTACTCATCATCGACCAGAATATTTTCTTGACCTACTTAGATTATATATATATATATATAGATATGTCTTTGATTAATTACTTTTTTCTAGAAGGATGGTTTGAACCACAAAAGTAGTATATTTGTTCTTACGAAACAAAATGACCAAATCAGAGAAGAAAACGGGGGGTTTCCAGAAGATCCATATAAAACGGAAGTTGAATATCGAATTAAACCCATGGAAAAAGATGGATGTGAAGAAAAAGTCTACGAATTTATGTCCAATTTGGAGTGTGAAAAGTAAGTATGTGGTGGAGGAGGGTCAACTTTCATTGCTCATTTTCCGTCTTGATGAGGGTCTATTTCTTTTCTTGAAGGTCGGTTCGGTTCATCCCTCCAATTTTCAACTTTTTTATCGCTTTCATATTTTAGTGTTCGTGGGGCATATAAATGAAACGTACAAGTAATGGCAAGTGTTCCTATCCGATGTAAATACCGTGAAATTTTCTTTTCCTGTATATATTAGTGGTGATCGTCGGTTCAATTTAGACAATAATATCTCTTCTATCTCTTAACATGTTAACATGTAGAATGAGGGTACATGAGGGTTTGAATTTCGCACTGACATATTCACAAACATGGAGTAACCAAATTAAAACAATAGTCACACATCATTCTAACCAATCTTACTATACAGTATTTAAAAGGAGAGGTGAGGGCCGTGTGGGTTGAGGGTTTAGGTTTTTTAAATGAGACACTAATAAGTTAAACAAACCGATCCTTAAACATTCCTAATTTATGAATCTGTCATTGAACCGATAGGCTAAAAAATCAAATTTGTTCCGCAGAAATTGAAATAGATATCGACATTACGGATAAACTGAGCATCCCTAATTTGTATTATTTATAATGCTTGTATTAGCAATTCACACCTAACCTTCCCTATTATGCAATCAACAATATCTCTCTGTGGAAATTGAACGCTTGAACTCTTGCCTCTTTGGAGGAAAGATATCATACTATTGTACCCTAATTTGTTTTTTTAGTAAGAAAATGACATATAATTTTCTCTTGACAAATAAATAAATAAATAAGAAAGAAAGAAGAAGAAGAATACATAATTATCCCTCGAAATTGAGGGTATTTTTTTAAGCACAATTATATCAATTTTAAAATATATATTTAAGGAAAAAAAAAAAAGTATTAAGAATAAAAAATAGAGGATGTATTCTATAATTGTCAGAAGGAACCCATATTTCCACAATTCCACTTTGGGTAAATTTTACTCGTAAATTATACACTAATTAAAAGTCATGGTCAAAAGACTGGATTCATTTAATGCATGGACTATAAAACTACTCCTTTTTAAAAGGAGGGAGCGGTTGGGTATCGAAAATCTTGCTTTGGACCATTTATAGTGCCATGCTATCTGCATGGATGTTATGAGTTGTGTGGACTTCTTTTTACAATTCTTATATACCCGTGAAATCATGGTTATATGGTTTTTTTTTTTAAGGACTTAATAGTGACATTGGTAAGCAAAAATTAGTGTTTGGTAAATTTATATTCATATCTAATTAGTTATAATAGCAAAATCTTAATTCTAATTTTTACATATAAATAATGATGGAATCAATTATGACTCGTGTAGCAAAATATTTCAAAAGTAAAATTCAGTGGTCTTACTGAATTTTAATAGGGCTTATTCATTTTCGATCGAGGAGTAATTTTTCAAGGAATAAAAAATAAATAAAGTAATAGTTATTGAAAGTAATTTCACTAAAAAAAAAAAAAAAATTAGTATTATTATTATTCTTTTTTTGTTAATGTGTAGTTGTTCTTTCAATTTTGGATTTCTAACTACAATGCAAATTCTAATTCATTTTTAAAATCAAGACGACACTGATACAATATTGATTGAGTATACTCTGATCTTAAACAATTATGTGACAAAGAATGGAGTTTGTATTAAAATTTGTATTGTTGGGTTGTATCCGACCATACAACAGGAATGTCAAATTTGAATTACTCCTTTCCTTTTTTTATAGGAACGGTGTTCAGTTTCTCATCGTGCAAAATTTTACATCAATAATTTTGTAAAAAAATATATACTAATATTCTAAAGAAATTAGGGTTGGATTCTGGATGGTGCAGAATTTTGATAGGAAAGGAAAATAATAGGCATGATTGAGAAAGTACATAGCTATGACTTTGCTTATGTTAAACTTAATAAAATATAAGTAATTATAGAATATTAAGAAAATCTAGTAATGCACTCCATTGTAGGACTGTGGATGGAGTCGGCCCTATGTTTCAATTACTTCTATAGACTAAAGAAGCATTAATTTAGGTAGGAGTGAATGGAATACCTGCATATATTGGCTACATTTTCTTTACAAGTTGGTAGATTTGAATGAACATTAATGGGGGCAAGTGATATTCAAAATCACTTTTGCCACTATTATCTATCTATTTTCTTCTCTTTACTCTTCTTAACCATCCCTATCTTCTAAATTATTCAAACCCAGTCATAAAGACCACAAACAACAGCTGTAAGAGGAAGAAAATCGTTTCCATCTTTGCTGTTTGGTTGACAAATAATGGATTCCTTTCTCTCTCTCCTTTGCTTCTAAGACTGTGGATGTGAATGTGGTTCATTTGTCGGTCTTCACTAAGTTTGAAATCAAGAGAAACCACTTTGAACCCTTTTAAAAACGGAAAAAATAAAAAGGAAAAAAAGCTAATTAACAAAAAAAAAATAGTCAAAAGAAAAGCAAAGTTGTTGGCAAAAAGAATCAAAAGCTACCTTGTCTTGTGGAAAGAAATTGCCACGTAATTACCCAAACAGCCCATAGAAATCAAATCTCTATCTACATTGCATGAATCGTGTGAAAGTTGAATCGGATCATTGTATTCCACCAAATCTGTACGCAAAGTGTCTCACTAACTATTTCAATGCAATTTCATAAAATATAGTAATTCAAAAGTCCTTTTTGTCCTTTTTTTAATCCCCAACCTAACCAATACACATTTTTTCTACGACATGCAAGTTAGCCACGTGGTTGTAGGTGAATGGTCAACCAAATCTCAGTCATACTTTCTCTCTGTCTTTTTTTTTTTTTTTTGGTAATTACTTTCTCTCTGTCTTTGTA